AGACGTGACTCAAGAATACCGCCATGATTGAGTTGATTTTTTAGGCCAAATTTCAGTTGATTTCGGCGTCCAAAACTCAATTCGATACCACCCCTTGAACCACTGACCTTCATTCTACAAACCCCCTCTAACCCCAAAACTTGGTAGCCCCTCGTTCGCCGGCAGTCAGGTTAGGGATTTTGTGAATAGTTAAAAATGGTAACCCGAATCGAAGAGGGTGTCGGTCATTGGTCATACTTGTCCGACCAGCCAGTCCGATCCAGTTTTCAAAACACTGCTACCCACTATAAATGGATTTGACACAAGTGATTTGCACATATCTCAAAGAATATTTGAAATGATTTAATAAAAATTAAAAAAAAAAAATCTTTTTATTTATTTTAGTTGGGTTTTTTTTTGGGGGGAAAAAACAGAAGCTATATAAGTAAAAATAATTTTAGATTTTTTTAATAGTCAAGTATTTTATATCTGAAAATTTCCTTTAATCGATTTTATAATGGTTCTTCTTTTGGGTCATAATTATAAATCTCCATATTTGTTAAAGACTTGGGAAGTGTAGCATGAAGCATTTGGTATTATGACTTATGAGTACGTTCCTGAGAAGACATCTTTACAAATTAGTAAAGTTGAGAGATTAAAAACCCAAATTGTTCAAGATAATCTTATATAGTGTGGACATCATTTTTTGGGTTCATCACGAAAAGAATGTGATAGATATATGGGTCTCAACATTTGACTATGTTTTGGATTGTTAAGGGTCACGTTCTTAAATTATGACAAAGAATATCAACTGAAAACCACATTAACTAATAAATTATATAATTTCAGAAAATTTTCTCTTCTATCTTTACGCTAACATTCATGTATTGAATCGGATAAGATACAAACATACCATAATTGTCAGTTGTACAACCAATAAATATCAACAAACTAAGACACAACGGCTTTTGTGTTGTTTTCATTTGAAGATATTACCAAAACTGTAAAGATATATATGAATGGTCAGATAAAAATTGGTAAGCTCTTCATTTGATCCCCCAAAATGTGGTCAAATTAGTCAATTTCCCTCAGAAGATGACAGTAGTAATCTGATCATCTCTTCAGCCTTAATCGGGAGCTTACCCAGATGTGAAATGGTCAATGAGGTTTCTGCACCGCAGATAAACCCACCTTAAACTTGAAACATTTTTTATATGGATTAATTTAACATAATCCAAGTTCTAGAAAACAATGATTGGGATGAGAGAAATCCAATTGAGAACAAACTTTGTATAATATGAACCACAACTTTAGATTTTAAGAGAGAGAAAAAAAGATCCATAAAATCTTTACCCCACAACTCCCTGCCTTACAAAATCACCCCAAAAGATCCCAACATAACTTCATAACTACATAATTCTAATTTGATCACTCACTTCAAATTAGACATGGCTGCTCTTCCTTCAATAAGCCATCACTCTCCTTCATCTTCTTTATATCCTAATTACCAATCTTCACCATTGATATTTGCTTCAAAATCTAATCAAGACTCTGTGTGTTTCTTGGCAGTAAGATCAGTTACATATACTTCAAGGAGAAGATTGTCTTCACACACTGTTCCAAGGGGCCTCAAGATCCAAAGTGCAGCTACAAAACCTGCAAAATCACCAGGTAATATTTTAAATAAGATTTCTCATTTCCATTTTTGAGATAAAAGATTGATTTCTGATGCAGAAAACTAGTGAATTTATGTATGGTATGCTTATAGTCTAGCTTAACCCTGACTTGGTTTTTGTATTGTCTTCTTTGGAGGGATTAGCTGAAGAAGATTGGAAGACTAAGAGGGAGTTTCTTCTACAAAAAAGGGTATAGCTCTCTTTACGTAACATATATATCCTGTTTGCAGACATGAATTTAAATCAAATATTGCATGCAAAGATTATAATACGCCCGTGCGTGCACACACCATCTCAGTGCATTTTGTGCTGCTTCAATGAGAACACTTACCATCTTTGGAAAGAGTAGAGAATTTAAAGAAACAAAGAATAAGAATGAGAGAATTGATAATGAAAGAGTGAAAAGAATGAGATAAGTCAAACATAGAGTGAATATCGTTTAGGAAAGGAAAAGAAAAAAGAAAGTGGGTCATTGAAGCTGATTCTTAGTTAAATTGCACACGCTCACATAAGCACATAATATTGATATACAATGGAGTGAGTATTCATATACAGGAAATAATCTCCGTTACAATTTTGAGCTATCTTGGAAGCTGTTCGAGATCCGCATTTTTTAACCTAATTAGTAACAGTAGCTTAATCTAATGCTGCCAGTGTTTTTAATACATTTTAGAGGTAAGTATTGAAAAATCACTATCTCGGTGCATTTTGTGCTGCTTCAGTGAAAACACTTGGCTTTGTTTAGAAAGAGTATGAGAATTTAAAGTAACAAAGAATAAGAATGAACGAGTGAAAATAATGAGAATGAGTTAAAGTCATACATAGAGCAAATATGGTCAAGTAAAGGAAAAAAAAAAAAAAAAAAAGCAGATCATTGATGCTGATGCTTAGTTAAACTGCACCATTAGATAAAAGCTGCTGATAATTTTCTTCTCTGCAGGTAAGGAGTGTTGATGTGAAGGAGGCTTTGCGCCTACAGAAAGAAAATAACTTTGTGATTCTTGATGTACGACCTGAAGCGGAATTTAAAGAGGTAAGTCTGCCCAAAACAAGCAACAGAGAACTCAAATGAACATAATGCATTCCAGAATTTTCGGTTTCTCCCAGTAACTTTATTATTCATCACAAAGAATAACCAAGGAATGATATTTTAAGTTATCTTTGATGATACAGGCTCATCCTCCAGGTGCTATCAATGTGCAAATATATAGGCTTATAAAGGAGTGGACAGCATGGGACATTGCTAGGCGTGCTGCATTTGCGTTTTTCGGCATCTTTGCTGGCACAGAAGAGAACCCAGAGTTTTTGCAGAGTATAATAGAATCCGAATTATATTTCTATTTTTTTGACAACATTCATGTGTGTTTTTAAATAATCCTTCAGTGTCTGCTCGCAGGTGTGGAATCAAAACTAGGTAAAGATGCAAAGATAATAGTGGCATGCTCAGCCGGGGGCACAATGAAGCCATCACAAAGTCTCCCTGAAGGCCAACAATCAAGGTTTATGTCTCTCTCACCGTATAAAATTATCTTATTGAAACATAACCAATCAGTATAGATTCCGGCATTAATAAATTGTGACTTTAAGACTAGTACAGGTTTTGTACACTGGAATACGTTATCACTAACTTTGGTTAACACTGCAGATCACTGATAGCTGCCTACTTGCTAGTCCTCAATGGTTACACAAATGTCTTCCACTTAGAAGGGGGGCTTTACACTTGGTTCAAAGAGGGATTACCGGCAGCTTCAGAAGAGTGAAGTAGCAGTACTTTTAAAGCTGTTGCTTCCAGAGAAGCTCAAGTTTTGCCCTTAACGCTGATTGTAATGTAATGTACTTGTGTGACGACTGACACCACCTTTATCCATCGATTGAGAATGTTAATTGTATCAAGACTCAGTTTTTATCATATCATAAGGCAATGTACTGTTTTTCACATTTGAGTTTAAGATTTGTATATATTGATTTTGAAGCACCGAAAGAAAGCATTTGCTTAATTACCCAGCAAATATCATAAATGTAGCATCAAATGATGTGTTTGATATTGGATTTACAAATCATATTCACAATCTGTGAAATATAAAAATATCTTGCCATGTTTTTATTGTTTTCATTTCTCAAGTCTTGTTTTCAGAAAATTTACCAGACATGATCTCAAACGTCTTGAAAAACAAATTCAATTTCATTTAAAATTTTGAAATGCGATAACATACCCATATTCTGTAAACAAATTTGTAGCCCTCAACAACATAAAATGTAAGATCGACTTGAAAATATCAGGAAAACTTGTATATGTTGCACCCAAAAAAAAGACCAGCTTTTTCCAGTCTGTTATTGGTCTTACAGGATAATTGTTAGAAGGTATTCAATCCCAAATAGCAAGCAAAGGAGAGCTTTTCCAGTCTGTTATGTTATCATGCTAGGATGGTTAGTTTCATAACCACATAATTGTTCATTATAATAACTAGGTATCTTTTAAGTTTGCATCACTTCAGAATTTGTAGCCAGGAATTGGTGGGATTTATTTCATTACAGAACAAGTGATTTTTCTCCTTGAGTGAAGGGCATTCAATTATTGAGTTTGAGAGCACAAGAATATTAAAATAGCATAAAGAGATAGGGTATTTCATGAGCTAATAGATGGTGCAGGTGAATATTCAATCCCCCCAAATTGGCCAGAGACTTTGAAATCCATTATAACACCTTACTAACAAAGTAGCAAGACAAAAGTAAAAGAAGAGCACATATTAATAGGCACATTAAAAATAGAATTTCCAGGAGCACCAACAAGTACAACGATACCAGAGAAAACACAGATAATTATTGTTCCAATGGATCATTAACATCTGGTACCCAAAAAAAAATCAAATCAAATAAAGGATCCTCCACAATGGTATACAATTATCTCCATGTCCCAGACAACTAAGAAAAGATAAAAACAAAGGAACACTGAACAATCAAGAAGAGGAATGGAATGTGATCATGGCATTCTGGGGGAGAAACCAAGAGTCAGATAGTCTTACAAATGCGGGATAATGTTGCAATGATAAGTCATGATATCAAATATCAAAAGAGAGACCATTAATAAGCCCAGGGAAATAGCAACCAGAATTCTCCCCCCAATCCCAACTGAGCCATGAAAATAACAGGAAATATGAGAAATCAAAACCGACCAAGCAAGTATACAAGCCACTGTATGAACCACAATCCTCGTTCCAGCAATTTGCATCCTCAACTTTCAAGATTTACAAGGTTTTATGAAGCAGTTAATATTCTATTCTCTTCTCACAAGGATGAAATGCCGATTTCATGTGCTATAATTAATTAGGAAGTTTCTAGAAGCCTTTAAATTGTAATTTCCTGCTGCTTAAAATACCGACGGTCCTCTTCATCAACTAGAACAAGGTTCAAGTAATACTTCACACTGAATTTGTTGTTAATATTGCGATGAGTTGGTGTCAACTCATAAGGGCTAAGAAACAGTCTGATTGGAATTGATTCACCTGTAAAGCAAGAATGAATTTATAGCAAATGCATCCACTGGCAATTGAAACGCATGATGCATAGACACAATTAACTTCTCACAGCTAAATTCAGTGTTTACTAGGCCATCCTAACAAACTAGCTATTCAAGTCTCTCATTATATAGAAAATTAGCATGGTAGTAGATGCCATTTCCAATGAGTCTGTTAGTCCTACATTTGTTTAAATTCGAAAGAAACTTGAAGATCTCCAAACATACCTCTGACAGGAGCCCCATCCATCAACTCAAATTTAGCTAGTGTCTCAGTTTCAACATGTGTATTGGCCCCTGAACCAGTTGATTCTCTGCGCCTAATCTCAAGATCCATATTCTTAATTTTAATTCTTACAAGAAGAAAATATATCTTGCCAATAATAACATCTTTCAAATGATACCTGTAAAACCCAAAATCCAATAAGCAATAACACCAAAGTCAGGCTACAATGGGAAAAGGGCAGGATTGGGATTGATTAAACAACCCCAGATGCCAATGTAATTCAACAAACTGCAAAAAACATCTGAAATTTTCCAATCATAGCTACTGTATGGTCCAAGTCTGACTACTGATTGATAACTGACAGAGAGCACAACAATCTAAAAAAGGCTGAACAAACCCTAGTCAAAAGACATAGACAACTTACTTGCTTTTATTGTATTCAAACTCAATGTGTAGGCAATCTTCAATTCCAACTTCCATCTGTAGAAAGAATTAAAGTTGGGATAAGGCTTTAAAGACACATTAATAAGATTAAACCTAAAATGACAATTAATTATGGGTAGTATTAAAATTAAAATCAGATTAAATCATAGGGTAAAACGAAACTTTTAGAGCCCTATTTATTACTTAACCTCAAAAAAGCATGCCACAAACATTAGACAAGAGAGTTGAGATAGCAATGCGATTTCGCATCATGTAATTCTCATAAAGGTACTAAATTCCTGCAATTTACCTTGATGCTATTGTTAATTGATGGAGCTGGGGTATAGTTGCGAACCTGGTGCATCAAAATGACATCAAGAAAATTAGAGATGCTACATTAGAAGAGTGTAGCAAGTACAATACATGTAAAGAGCATGATTTTTTCAGGCACTATCATCTTCCCACTATTATTGCACCCTGGATTAAGATTTTATGCAAATATGATACAAACCCCTCTCAATCTACTGTTCCAGCAAGCAACAAGCAAACACACGCACACACAACAATTCAAACAATCCACAGATAAGACATATTCCAGAATTATATTGATAAGTAGAAAATTAACATATACTGAGAAAATGAAAGCAACTGATAAAAGAAGATCAGAGTTCTAGCATTTCGAGGAGCTAGAGACCTCCCATCACTATTTCCTTAACAAATTAACCACCCCTCACGACTTAAGACTCTTCCCTTACATTCACACTTGATTCTCACTCTAGTCCCAATCAACTTAGGACACGTATACACTCCACTAACTAATTCCCATTCCCTTTATTCACACCCAACGTCCCCCTACCTTGCTTGCGATATCTCATCCCCCCCTTGAAGTGCCACCTTGTCCTCAAGGTGGAAGTGAGAAAACTGCTGGTCAATGACTGCACAGGATTCCCAGGTGGCTTCAAAAAGTGGCAGATCCTACCACTTAATCAAAACTTCCTTAGACCCACCCATCCAAGAGAGTGCAAGAAGAGAGGACAGCTTCCAGTTGAACTAGGAGCTCCAAGTCCTCGGTGAGGAAGGGAGGCAGAGGCTGAGTGGGGACCGAACTATGGAGACTTTGTTTAAGTTGGGAGACACGGGTGGATATGAGCTGTGGCAGGTAGGTCCAACTTGTAGGCAACCATACCAATTTTCTCAAGTATCTCAAAGGGGCCACAGAAGTGGGGGCTGAGCTTCTCATTGAGTTTGGTAGCCAGGGATTTAAACTTATATGGTTGGAGTTTAAGGTAGACAAAATCGCCAACCTGGAAACTGAGATCATGGCGATGGGCACCGGCATTCGCCTTCATGTGCCCTTGAGCAAGCCGCAAGTTATCCTTGATTTAAGGATGGTGTTTCTTTCCATCAACTGTTAGTTCACATCTTCCACTGGGGAGGGACTGTCGGTGAATTTCAGAAGGGTGGAAGGATCCCAACCGTAGAGAGCTAGGAAAGGAGTCATCCTGGTGGAGCTATGGTATGTGGTGTTGTACCAAAACTCAACCCAAGGGAGCCATCTCGGCCACTGCCGTGGTTGTGAACTGCAGAAACAGTGGAGGTAAGTCTCAACACAACGATTGACGACTTCAATTTGGCCATCAGTTTGAGGGTGATATGCCGAACTGAATTTCAGAGTAGTGCCCGCTGCCTTGAATGGTTCTTGCCAAAACTGGCTCATAAACACTCTATCTCTATCGGAGACTATGGATCGGGGAAACCCGTGGAGTTTGACTACCTCTTTCACAAATATGTCAGCCACCTCCTTGGCATTAAAGGGATGAGATAGTAAAATGAAGTGGCTATACTTAGTTAGGCGGTCCACAACCACAAGAATGGTATCATAGCCCTTAGTTCTAGGTAAGCCGCCAATGAAATCCATAGACAAGTCTTCAAAAACCTGGTTAAGGATAGGTAAGGGCTGTACGAGACCTACTGGTTTCAAAGCTAAATGTTGGTTTGACAGATTATGCAAAGATTTCACAAAGTCTTGGACATCTCTCTTGATGCCCTCCCAAAAGACAACTGCAGCCACTTTCTTGTATGTCCGAAAGAACCCGGAATGGCCACCACCAGGGCTGGAGTGGGGCTCATGGAGCAACTTGGGAATGAAGCAAGAAGATTTCGGAAGCACCAACCTGCCTTTACACAGTAGACAGCCCCAGCGTAATTGGTAGTTTGGCCAGCTAGCTGAGTCAAAAATCAGGTCTCATATGACCTTCTGAAGCTTGGGATTTTCCTAGGCTTCAGCGGATAAGTCTTCATATTCCGAGAATTGCACCACCGAGAGGGCCTGCAATGTCCCAACTTCATCACAACGTGATAAAGCGTCAGCCACCCGATTAGTGTTGCCCAGATAACAGTGAATCTCAAATATGTAACCCATAAGCTTGGAAATCCACTTTTGTTGCTCCGGCGTCTTCATTCGCTGATCAAAAAGAAACTAAATACTGCGTTGGTCAATCTTGATTATGAATTTTCTTCCAAGTAAGTAGTGGCTCCACTTGTAGACGGTGAACACGATTGCCATTAGCTCTCTCTCGTAAACGGACTTCTGTCTAGATTGAGGAGAGAAGGCTTTGCTCAAATAAGTTACAGGTCTACATTGTGTTGTGATGAAGCGTCAGCCACCCGATTAGTGTTGCCCAGATAATAGTGAATCTCAAATGTGTAACCCATAAGCTTGGAAATCCACTTTTGTTGCTTTGGCGTCTTCATTCGCTGATCAAGAAGAAACTAAATACTACGTTGGTCAGTCTTGATTATGAATTTTCTTCCAAGTAGTGGCTCCACTTGTAGACGGTGAACACGATTGCCATTAGCTCTCTCTCGTAAACGGACTTCTGTCTAGATTGAGGAGAGAAGGCTTTGCTCAAATAAGCTACAGGTCTGCATTGCTGAACTAGGACAACCCCAAGTCCTTGGCCTGAAGCATTGGTGTGGATTTCGAAAGGAAGATCAAAATTGGAGGCTGCAAAAACTGGAACTGTTGTCATGGCTGTCTTTAACTGATTAAAGGAGTTTTGGGCTGCTGCACTCCATGTGAAAGAATCTTTTTTCAGGAGCTGGGTGAGTGGCTGAGCAATGGTGCCATATCCCTTCACAAAACAATCGGTAGTACCCCCATAAGTCCCAAGAACCCTCGCAAACTCTTAACATTAGTCAGAATGGGCCAGGATACCATTGCTTCTATTTTCTGGGGATCTGCCTCTACCCCTTTGGCAGACACTAGGTGGCCCAAGTACTCAAGTTTCTCCTACCCAAAAAGACACTTCTTGCTGTTAATCACTAACTCATGGTAAGGCGAACTAGGTGGGTATCCATGTCGGGGCTGTATATGAGAATATCATCAAAGGAGACCAAGACGAATTTCCGAAGGACAGGTCTGAATATGGAATTCACAAGGGCTTGGAAGATGGGGGGTGCATTGGTTAACCCGAAAGGCATCACTAAGAATTCGTAGTGACCTTCATGGGTCCTAAAGGCTGTCTTTGGGATATCTTTCTTCTTAACCCCGATTTGGTGGTAACTGGACTTCAAATCTTGTTTCAAGAAGATGGTTACGTCGGCCAACTCATCCAAGAGCTCATCTATGGTTAGGATTGGGAACTTGTCTGGAATTGTGAGGTTGTTAAGGGACCTGCTGCACTCCATGTAATCTAACAAATTAACCACCCCTTCCCTTATATTCACAATTGATTCTCACTCTAGTCCCAATCAACTTAGGACACGTATACACTCCACTAACTGATTCCCATTCCCTTTATTCACACCCAACTTCCCCCTACCTTGCTTGCAATATCTCGTAATAATTTGTGGCCTAACAAAATATCAATATATCAATGAAATAGTATTCTTCTAAAAGAGTAATGCTACCCTTCCATCTATCCAAAAAAATTTCTCCCCACTATTTCTTACCCATCACCACCAATCACGGTAGGTGTTATTTCAACTACCACATCAACACAGATGAAAAAGTATTACTCATACGATTAATATTTTCTAGTCATGCTTTTAGCAGAATATAACAAAGTCAATTAGTGCTCAGAAAAAATTGCAATGATAATCAATCATGAACACTAACAGAGAGAGGATATCAAAAAGTATTACCACGAAATCTTGGTATTCAACTATGCTTCCACCATAACCACGGCTGACAGTCACTTTCAAGACATACCTATAAAGGCATATAAAAATAATATTGTAACATGAGTTTTCAATTATAACATCACATTCACCATCTCCATGCTGCCAATCACCAATGCGCAACAAGGAAGAAAAACTGAAGTTCTAAGCATTCTAAATAATAATCAAGGATTCTAACTTTTATCAGGTCAACCTAATTACCAAAAGAGTATGCCTAAACTGCCACCTTTCACAAGCCAATTCACATGTCAACATTCAAGTAACATAATGAGTCCGTAATATTAGGCTGAGTACAAGGCTGAAAGCAATACAATTAGGCACACATTGCTTCATATGTAATTCTAAGTATAGGCTTCAATAGTAGCACATGAACTAGAAGTGGGATTGAATTGTTCAACAATTTATAACCATCATATAAAGTCATTGTTCAACATAATTTGAAAGGATACACACACAAAGATATCCCTTGAAATCTTTAAAGATTAGTAGAAAACAAACCTTAGCCTCACATTCACTCCATTGTATGTCTCATATGGCATTTCAACTGTAGAAAACTCAAAGGGATATGTTTTTCTTTCATATATTTCTCCAGGAACATCCAATTCACGTACTGCAAACAAAAGATAGATATCATGGCCAGCATAAACACAATTAATTAGTTAAATAAAACTGAATGTAGAGAAGGTTCCTTATTTGTTTTGATGTTCAAGATAAGAACAGAAGGATAAATATAACCGCAAATGTACCAAAAGATAAAAAACATAGTTCATTTTTCCTGTCTCTATCACAAAGTGCTAAAAACAATAAACCAAAATATATTGCTCAACCAAATAATTGCAAAAATGACAATAAGTCATAACAGAAGCAAACAAATGAAAAGCAAGAGTTTACTTACCAAGTGAAGTAAAATCGTAAAAGTTGCCTCTGTCAAAATACATCTCTGCAAAGTGAAATAAAATTAAAATCTTATGAACTTGATTCAACATATATGAAAGGACAGCATGTTCAGAAGGCAAATGAATCANGGGTATCCATGTCGGGGCTGTATATTAGAATATCATCAAAGGAGACCAAGACGAATTTCCGAAGGACAGGTCTAAATATGGAATTCACAAGGGCTTGGAAGATGGGGGGTGCATTGGTTAACCCGAAAGGCATCACTAAGAATTCATAGTGACCTTCATGGGTCCTAAAGGCTTTCTTTGGGATATCTTTCTTCTTAACCCCGATTTGGTGGTAACTGGACTTCAAATCTTGTTTCAAGAAGATGGTTACGTCGGCCAACTCATCCAAGAGCTCATCTATGGTTAGGATTGGGAACTTGTCTGGAATTGTGAGGTTGTTAAGGGACCTGCTGCACTCCATGTAATCTAACAAATTAACCACCCCTTCCCTTATATTCACAATTGATTCTCACTCTAGTCCCAATCAACTTAGGACACGTATACACTCCACTAACTGATTCCCATTCCCTTTATTCACACCCAACTTCCCCCTACCTTGCTTGCAATATCTCGTAATAATTTGTGGCCTAACAAAATATCAATATATCAATGAAATAGTATTCTTCTAAAAGAGTAATGCTACCCTTCCATCTATCCAAAAAAATTTCTCCCCACTATTTCTTACCCATCACCACCAATCACGGTAGGTGTTATTTCAACTACCACATCAACACAGATGAAAAAGTATTACTCATACGATTAATATTTTCTAGTCATGCTTTTAGCAGAATATAACAAAGTCAATTAGTGCTCAGAAAAAATTGCAATGATAATCAATCATGAACACTAACAGAGAGAGGATATCAAAAAGTATTACCACGAAATCTTGGTATTCAACTATGCTTCCACCATAACCACGGCTGACAGTCACTTTCAAGACATACCTATAAAGGCATATAAAAATAATATTGTAACATGAGTTTTCAATTATAACATCACATTCACCATCTCCATGCTGCCAATCACCAATGCGCAACAAGGAAGAAAAACTGAAGTTCTAAGCATTCTAAATAATAATCAAGGATTCTAACTTTTATCAGGTCAACCTAATTACCAAAAGAGTATGCCTAAACTGCCACCTTTCACAAGCCAATTCACATGTCAACATTCAAGTAACATAATGAGTCCGTAATATTAGGCTGAGTACAAGGCTGAAAGCAATACAATTAGGCACACATTGCTTCATATGTAATTCTAAGTATAGGCTTCAATAGTAGCACATGAACTAGAAGTGGGATTGAATTGTTCAACAATTTATAACCATCATATAAAGTCATTGTTCAACATAATTTGAAAGGATACACACACAAAGATATCCCTTGAAATCTTTAAAGATTAGTAGAAAACAAACCTTAGCCTCACATTCACTCCATTGTATGTCTCATATGGCATTTCAACTGTAGAAAACTCAAAGGGATATGTTTTTCTTTCATATATTTCTCCAGGAACATCCAATTCACGTACTGCAAACAAAAGATAGATATCATGGCCAGCATAAACACAATTAATTAGTTAAATAAAACTGAATGTAGAGAAGGTTCCTTATTTGTTTTGATGTTCAAGATACGAACAGAAGGATAAATATAACCGCAAATGTACCAAAAGATAAAAAACATAGTTCATTTTTCCTGTCTCTATCACAAAGTGCTAAAAACAATAAACCAAAATATATTGCTCAACCAAATAATTGCAAAAGTGACAATAAGTCATAACAGAAGCAAACAAATGAAAAGCAAGAGTTTACTTACCAAGTGAAGTAAAATCGTAAAAGTTGCCTCTGTCAAAATACATCTCTGCAAAGTGAAATAAAATTAAAATCTTATGAACTTGATTCAACATATATGAAAGGACAGCATGTTCAGAAGGCAAATGAATCACAACTACAAAACGTCTAAATAACAAACTGCAGATATTTGAAATAAGTTAATGAATGAATTACGTGTTTCCATCACCACCCATTAGCAGAAAATCTCCCAGTCAAATCAGCTACAGAAGTAAGGCTAGGAGAAGCACTAATGATAGTAGCAACTAGAAAAGACTGTAGATAGATACTTTATAAAACAAGAAAATGTCCATAATATAAAGTATAGGCATGGTGAAGAATTATCAATAATAGAATATAATCCCTTCTACCAAAATTTACCACAATGAACAGTTCCAGGGAACAATAACTCACCTATCTGACCAAGCAGCTCAATTTTCACACCATTGTGTTCAACCTTCTTCCCTTGAACTGGTTCTATGGAAACCTAGAAATGAAATCAAAGAAATCTTTAAAGGGTTAAATGTTACAAATAACAAACACCATAAGATCTGTATGCTATCACTCTTAACACCAAACTACACTATCACATCTAGTACCTTCCCAGAAATGTTTTCTTGACTTTGGAAAAGTGGAACCATAACAGTTTGACCATTTTCCTTCTTCAGTGGAACCTACAAAAATTCAGGTGTAACAAAACCTTATCAGTACAAGAGTGTAACAAAAACAATAAATCAATATCAATGCAGTGTTCTTTGTGCAGCATTCAGAGTCAGTATTCAACAACCGTATGAAATGACGCCAACACTTCACATGCCCTGAGATATTAGCTATATAAAAGTATAAAAATCACAACTAAATAGTGAAAATCCTTGGACATCAATGCTACCATTACAGTGAATAATCATTATTTCACCTAAATTTATAAAGAAAACAACAGCCAAGTTACCTGCTTGCGAGTCTTGCCATCAGTAAACGTAATTGAAATATTACACGCTGGTTTGAAAGCTCCAATAAGGTAATTCTGAAAATTTCAACTATCAATATTATACCCAAATAAAAAACCAAGCCAATAATATAGAGTGCAGACAGAGTCACGAGACCTTACCATGGCTGTTTACAATTCACTTCAAATTACAGAACCAACTCGAATTGAAGGCCACCTGAAAAAGAACACAGATTTTAATTTAAATTTGAAACAAAATGACAGAGAAGTCCCATCAATTAACTAAATCAATCCTCTGATTCAACTAACTTGAATTGATTAAAACCCTAAATATGAAATTATAAATCATTGACTGAGATCAAATGAAAATTGAGAAATTCAAATACCTTAGAGAGTTGATCAGTAAGTGATGGAAAGAAAAGAAACCCTAGAACGCCTCAGAGTGGAGATTTGGATTCAGAAGCGATGGGTTCATCGATGTGGAATTTGACAGTTAGTTTAGGAATCAACATTGAAACGAAGACCACCTTGTAGTCACGTGCATTGCACGTCATACCAGGACAAATTGGTAATTCGACTGTATGCATATTTGAAAATGGGCATATGTTGTAAGACTCCCCTAGTTGTTCTAAAACTTTTATGTGCGTGGTAAGTTTGCTTGTTCTCATCAATTAACCCCACAATTCTTTTGTTAAATTAGTCAAATACCATCTGTAACCTATTGTAGTCAGCTTAGAATTGGTGTTTGAGGGTTAAAAAGGTAATTTTATATTGATTATTAGCATTAGAGAATAAATTAAGAGAAATCCCTAAAAATGCTTGAAGCAAGAGTTTGACAGTTGTATAGATTAAACAGTTTTGATTATTTCATTTAGTTTGTGTTGTCAGATGCTTGAGTAGTAATGACAGCAATCCAATGGTGGATGTTGAGTTTTTTTTTTTTTTTCCAGCAAAGCTCAACACTTTTACTGTCGATGATCTTCCTCCACACAAATGGAGAACTCGAATGTATGAATTTCAGGCTTGGTTACAAGCTGAGATGCTGAAACCTAATGCCCAAGTCTCTACTGTACTTACGCAGTTTACAGCTAGATTTGGAGGCATTCTCCGTGATTGGTGGATAAGTCTTCAGGAGTATAGACAAAATTTGTTCATCCAAATGCCAGATATCAACCAAGCCCTGTATCTCATGTATGATGAATTCTGTGGATTACCTCATCTTTATGAGAATCAAGTCAGAGAAGAATATTTTAAAATGCGATGCTGTTCTCTCAAAAAGAAAGATCTTGACAGGCATTATAAAGAGATGGTAAAAAGGTATCATATACTTAGGGGTATGGATGATCCTAATATGAAGCAAGCCTTTTTGGCATCAATTCCTGAATCCCTAAGTCATGAAGCTACCAAGCTTATGCAGTCCCAGAACAAACAACTTGGCTCCACTTCTCTTGGTGAAATTTACCAGTTTGTTATTCTTGCTCTGGAAAAGCTCTGTTCTCAAAAACAATTTTTTGATGATTATATGAAGCGTTCTAAACAGCTGACAAAGGTTTGTCAACGACCAGACTTGCAGATCAAGTGCAAATCATCGCTCATGTCTTGTCCTACGAAGAAGTTTCATTCTAGACGCGTCAAGTTTCTCCACCTACTGCTCCGCTCACGCAAATTTCGCTGATTCAGAACCGAAGTTTCTTCGCAAAAGGAAACGTAAAGGTAAACGGTCTAATCGGTGTTATTTATGCAACCGCCGGGTCATTTTGCCAAAAATTGTCCAAACAAGTCTAAGCAGTCAGTCAAAATGATTGCAACAACTTTCTCAGCTCACAGATATCGATTTTTCTGATGATGAGTTGAAGTGGTTTTCAATGGATGACAACCCACCTCAGACAACCATTTTCCGTTTGCAGCCACTGATACTGAGTACTCTGATTCAGATGATTGTCATATTTCTCATATCCAACAAGCACCAATCCCTTCCCTCATTAGCCTTCTCAGTCACATACCTACAGCAAAAGTTCAGATCTTCCTACTAAATACTCAATCCTGTTTCAGTCATTGCATTCTTTGATACTGGTGCTACTCGTACTATTATCAATCCTAAGATCTTTCAGCCTCTCAGTGGAAACCTCATCAGGAAATATTCTACACTGCTAATAGTGAGACTTTCATTACTCATCTGATCAGCAAACCCATTAAAATCCAAATTTTCCCAGGCTGTTTCACCTTTCATAAAGTTCTCGGTTCCGATTACCTGCAAAGACATGGTTCTAGGTTTTAGTTTATTCTAAACTCAGTAAATTAGAATCCTCCTGATGGTGTTCGTTACAAGATGTTTTTCCAATCCTGGACCACACAGCCTAATTTATTCCAGATTGAGGGCAATCCATTGAGCAGATCAAGAACCAGCTTATTCCGTTCTTGCGCAGATTCTCATGCTGATTTTCTCACTAAATGTGCTCATCCATTATGGAAGAATCGGAATTCTTTATCCGTCTTCCATTCATCAAGAGCGAAGATATCAATCCCACTAAAGCTAGTCATTCCGGCATGTCACCGGAACATCTCAGTCTCGCCCAACAAGAATGTACTCAGCTTTTATCTCAGGGATGCTTTAACCACAGACTCTCAATGGGCATGTGAAGCTTTTATGTCAATAAACGAGCAGAACAAGCCAGAGGAAAACTCAGACTTGTCATCAATTATCAGCCATTGAATTTCTTTCTCCGTGATGATAAATTTCCTCTGCCTTCCAGACAAGTTCTTTTTGCAAATCTCCATATGCAAATGTTTTCAAAATGACCTCAAAGCTGCTTTTGGCAACTTGGATTCATCCTGATGATCGTCATAAAACTGCTTTCTGTATACCCAATCACCACTACCAGTGGACAGTCATGCCTTTGGACTAAAAGTCGCTCCTTCTCTGTTTCAGAAAGCCATGACGAAGATTTTGCTCCCTTCTGCATACATGTCTCATTTATATCGATGATATCCTTCTCTTTTCAAAAGACGAGGAACCATATACGTCTTCTTCGTGACTTTGCTGATATCATCCACACCTATGGTATCATGCTATCTGAGAAGAAAATGCAATTGGGGCAAACAAAGATTGATTTTCTCGTATGGTGATTGCTGATGGCAAGTATGATCTTCAACCTCATATTGCTAATGAATTGCAAAAATTCCCAGATGTTCTCACAACCAAGAAAGAAATACAACAATTCTTGGGAATTGCCAATTACATGCGCTTTTTCATCCCCAACATTTCTCGTTTCACTACTCCACTTTCCCAGATGCTTAGAAGAATCCTCCAGAATGGTCTGAAAAGCAGACAAATGCAGTCAAGAGTCTCAAACGCTCATCCTTCCATACACAGCCATTGAAGATTCCTCTACAGGGAAACGCATTCTTCAGACGGATGCTAGTGACACTCATTGGGGTGCAGTGCTTTTGGAACAAGATGACGACAAGGTACGACATCTGTGCGGATACCAGAGTGGACAATTCAAACCACATCAGCAACATTATCATTCTACTTTCAAGGAAGTATTAGCAGTCAAAAATGCCATTAAAGGTTTGAATTCCACCTTGTGGACATCATTTCTTTGTTGAAACGATATGAAGTCTTTTGATCAAATGCTTGTTTCCATAAGAAAAAGTTTCCACATCAACAGTTACTTCGCTGGGCAGAATGGTTCAGTAAATATTCCTTCACGTCCAGCATATCAAAGGCCACACAACACCATTGCAGATTATTTATCCAGACCTAAAACTAAACAAGTTGGTTTCCTGAACCCTAGATCCAAACCTCTTCCATGTTTTATGTCCCAACCATTACCCCAGTCCAGTTCTGTTCGCATCCTCTTCACCCAACCGCCTCCCGATGTACCTCCTGAATTTGATGACCTTGTTCGAACTCGTACCATTGATGAAAATGCTACCACCCTCTGTTTCTTACCAACTTCTGCATTGAAAAATGTGGTCAATCCATGATGATATGTTAGGGGTCCATCCAGATTACCCTTTTTCAAAAATCTTTTGTTTACCTCCAGGTCTTGATATCATATTTCCAGAAGAATATTATGTTCTTTGGTATTGTTACATCAATACCACATTGCCGTTCAATTCCCGATCCATCATATGTTGAAAATAATTTCCCAATACCATCAACCTCAACCCTGAATTGCACTCTTTGATGACTTTTCTCCGATGGTTCAAAACCCTCGACAAATGGAAATCTGGTTTTGCTCATCAACTTGCCCGATACAAAGGTCCATGTCTACCAAAATGGCATGGTCTATAATGTTTTTTCACAGACATCACTCTATCCGATCTGATGGCCTATATTTTCTCACCATCAAGTCACCTTTCATCGGTCTTATCCATACGATCTTGTCCATAATATGTTTGATCATCCTGTTGAGACTAGATCAATCAAAAAATCCTTTTGAAAAAAATCAGATCATTCCAGATGCACTATGGCCTCCTTTCACGATGATGCTCCGTGGAACTCTTTCCTCCAGACTACACTGAGAAATTGCTCCATGCCAAACAGACATGCATACGTTCCATCAATGCTCAATCCGATGACAATTCATCTTATCCAGAATGGTGGTACCCAGACTCACAGCCAGATACTGTGCAAGAAGAAGAGCTTCAGCAGTTCTCGTGATTACTATCTCCATAAATCCAGACGACAACAATACGTGAATGCACCACGTACATCTGCAACGCCAACATCTCAGATTCCAGACATTTCTTCGGATACTCATCAGATACATCTCCCGACAAATCCCTGCTGACTGGATTCAATCAATGGGTTGTCTTGACTTCCAGGATGAAGAATCGTGGCACGTTACCACTTGTCAACGATTAAAGATCTGCGTGTCTTGAAATAAATGGTAGTGTCCTTTATGTAAAATAGGAGTGGACTAAATGACAATTTGCCTTTTCATTAATATCTCTCGTAGCCATTGTAAAAAGTCAAGTATTGTAACCTTTGTTTTGTCAACAATTGTAGGCTACTTAATGTTAAAAAAAAAAAAAAAAAAAAAAAAAACCAAAGTCAAAAGGTTTGTCTTGTATTTAATGCCTCATTTATGAGGGCTTGTCTCCTTGGTATCTATAAATAAAGGTTTTTCCTTCCCGAGGGGAGGAGTTTGATTGTAAACTTTGCAAACACTTTTGTTTACTTCTCTCACTTTTCATTTCATATTTTCTCTACACTTCCATACTTTCTCTACACATCTTTCTTATACTTCTCATGTTTCTTTCATATTTCTAATTTTCTTCAACCTCAAGGGTGATGTAATACTCTGAAAATGTTATAGATAGCAAAAGATCCATAATGTTTTAATTTATGTTTTTTGACATGTTTAATATTTATGTTTTACTTTTAGTTCTTGTTCTTCATTTTTGTACATGTTCTTCATTGTCTAGTTACGCTCTCCATTTATGTTGTTGTTTAATATTCACTAGCCCTTTTAGATGATGTTAGAATCTGTGTGGGTGTACGTGTGTGTGGGATAAAAGGAGGGCCTTGACCATTT